TGAGGTGATGTTAAGGAACATTTTTCTCTGAGGCAAAAAACCCGAAAGTGAAATGGCTAAGGGAGTGGGATGATAAAATTGTTTTACTAATTGGGCCGGCGAGCTGTGTTTCCACTTGTTTCCTAGTTTATATTGGATTTCTTTGAACTGCAGAACAGTGATCTCTTCTTAAGTTTCTTCTTGGATTGGCATCATTTCTTGGGACAGGTTCGGAGTAATGGGGTGGGGTGGGTGGACTGATGAATTTCTAGTCTATCTTACCTTTTCTTTTCTGCTTGTTTTAACATAATTCGTGGTTCTTATTAAAAATTACCCTTTTAACAGCTGAGACAATTCAACTTGATAAAGATGGTGAAAATTTTCAAAATTCCAATGAAGCTAAAGAACAAGGTGATCTTGTTGACTTTGGGTGGGCCAACATTGGAAGTTTTGATGATCTTGATCAGATTTTCAGGTAATTCACCATGATGACATCATTTTCTTGGTTTGTTAATGAAGCATATTCGTCTCAAGAATATTCTGATATATATGAGTTTTTGCTATCGCACAGAAGTTTGCTCCTCGTTCTTTTTCTTTTTAGAATTAACAAGCTGGCATGATCTGAAAACCTAATTAAGTTCACCTTCTGTGTAGTTTCATTACTATCATTTGTAAATAGTTTTCTCTATATAAAAAACTAAAGCAACTGAAATGTTATGTGCTTCTTGGAATTTGTACTCTGAAGAACACCAGGTATAACATACAAAGTACTAAATTATATTTACAGTTGCAGACCATGAATTAGTAATAGATTTTGATACTCCTCACTCCAATTGTTTTACATAGCTTATTTAACCTTCCATATTAAATAATAAAAATATGCAGCTGTATCCATCTGACTCAATATTCTCACAAGTGGTTATTTTGCAGCAATGATGACTCCATCTTTGGCCATGCAAGTCTTGGTAACACTGACGAGCTATGGTCTTCTTCTAGAGATGCAACTACAAGTCCAATCAAAGCCTTTCCTGTATCTTCAGACTCACCAAGTTTCACATCAGGAGCACTAAGCAATGCATCTGAGAAATTGGAAATTAAAACAGAATATGCCCAGAAAGATGACGAGTCAATCACCCCTGGCTATGGAAAGACGAATTATTCTGCATCTCATGGTCTGCAGAATGCACATTTGATTCTTGATCATGTGGAATATGCTGGTGGTAAAAGTAAGCCCATGGCAAAGGAACAGGTACTATGATTTAATCTAAAACATGATCAATTCATAGCACATTCATATTTTTTCACTAAATTAATCCAGAAAAGCAATCTCATAATTTTATTTGACTTTCACAGACAGATTTGGACATGGGAAAAAGCACTCTGACAAATTCTTACTTGATTGCTGAGAATTCTTCTACCCCAAATGAAATAGCTAATAAGGTACCATCTCTCTCTCTCTCTCTCTCTCTCTCTCATGTTCTGATATGCCTAGGACTCATGATGAGGCAAATCATTCATGGTTCTTAATAAAAAGTTAAATAGTCTGTCTGATGTCTTTTAGAATAATAGCATATAGGATGTGGAAATGCTTAAGAAATTACTTCAAAATGTAAATGGAGTTGTCAACCTTTTGTATTAAAAGTCTGTTTAGCATGGAGGAAGAGTAACTAGTAGTTAGAGAGGGAAAGTATCAGTAGCCTGTGAGTATCGCATTTGACAGAAAAAAAAATGTTATCTTTAGTCGAAGTATTATTGGTTATTTTCATAGTATGTCAGGTTTTTTACAGTCTTTCCTTTAGACCTCCGACTTTGATTAAAGTATCATTAATCTTTTACTTACTGTGTATATACTTTCTATTTTCATCAACTGAGATTCAGATATTCATGATTAAAGTATCATAAATTTTCTACTTGTTTTGTATGTCAAAGTGAGGATTTTGGTTCATGTTGTACTATTCCAATTGGATTTCATAGATCGTTGTAATAAAGAAGGTGCTAGGATTCCATATTCATCCAATTTTGGGAGAAACCCACAAACACACACCACACACCCCCGCCCCCCACCCAACCCAACATCAAACTATTAAACAATATTCAAAAACGGAAATTCTTAAGACATCCATGCAAAGTAGTAGCCACTAACATGATAAATGCATTTTCTTCTGGACTTCATCCAAGAGACATTAGGCCAGGTATTGTTGGAAAAAATTCGTGGGTTAGGTGTTAATGAAGGAATTGCAAAGATGCCCCTAGAATACAATGAAGTCTTGCACTTTCTGTTGTTGGTCTGCCTTTTGCACTTATGAAAACCAACCTGAACAAGAAGGCTCAATGTTTAGAAAATAGTGAAATCGTTTCTGGAAATTTATAGAGAAACTGATGAGTTTTAGAAAAAGAGAGAGTGACGAATTTTAGAGAGGGAGAACAATATTGGGATCATACAAATGTGTGAAATGTTATAAAAGTTGTAGCATTCTTTCTTTTTACACCGTAACTTTATCGAGTACAGAAAAATCTTTGTTGATTACAATATCAAATTCAATGTGTTAGTTTGTACTTATTCATTTCAAATTGAGTTATAGGGCTTCTTCCTTCATATGTGCAGGGTTCTAGACTCAGAAAAATTATGAGGGGTCGCAGAAAGTTGGAGGAGAAAAGTGAGGAGAAATCATTGCAAGATTTTTATGGCACATGGCCTTCATCAAGAACCCCTTCTGGACATTCTGAGAACCAATTGGCACACTTCATGCTACAATCTTCTCCTTCTTCAGAGCTCAGCCAGAAGAGACAGCTTCAAGGACCTGAGTCTTTTCCATACCAACATATCTCAAACCAATATGTGGCCCAGTCTATGTATGGGAACCTCACTAATCCAAACCATGCTACATACGTGCCGTCTCACATTCAGCCTGGGGAGTTGAAGCATCAACATTGTTTTTCTAGTTATGAAGTTTCTCCTGGGAGTGCAAGGGCTATAAACAAGTCAGCAGATACTTCTGTGAAGCCTCTGACCATGACTCCTCAAGAAAAAATTGAAAAGTTAAGGAGGCGGCAGCAACTACAGGCAATGCTTGCCATTCAGAAACAACAGCAACAATTTAGTCATCAAATCTGTAGTACCAATCATTCTACCACTCAAAAATGTCCTCAAGAAAATAAAATTCAGCATTTTGAGAAAGCTGATCTGGAAGTTGAAGGCTTTAGCACTCTTCCTTCTCTGGACCCAAACTCATCCGCAGAACAAGATGATTCTGGTATGGTTTCTGCAGCAGTTGATGATTACTCAACGGAGGATACAATACTTTACAGGCTTCAAGATATTATATCAAAGGTATGCTCACTTTCAAAGTGGATTCTTTTCCTGCTAAGGTAAATTGGACTTAGTTACAATGGCAAAGCAATGTTTCACTACAGTTGGACATCAAAATAAGACTTTGCATACGGGATAGCTTGTTCCGGTTGGCTGAAAGTGCAATGCAAAGGCATTATGCTATTGATACTAGCAGTTCAAACAAAACTAGCAAGGATGAGGATGAAGTCGTTGCAAAGGAGGACACCAATAGTCATAACAGGTTAAAAAGCTTCCTTGTTCTCATAGTTTTGTTGCAATTTCATTTGAGCCCAAATGGTTATCCCTTGTATGCTGATTTCCTACATGGATTTACACCCGTGAAAAGAAAATATTTACTTGTAAACAATCTGAAAAGAACAGAGAAATAGTCATCTAGGTTATAGAATCCTATAAAATCCATGACTTAATAGTACTCTTTTTTGGTTTTTCTTTCCATGCCTGAAAATAATCAGTGAAACTGTCATGAACTTGTTGAAATTTTAGTTTACACATGTAGTGAATTTCTTTGATTACTAGTAATGGTTAATGCTGGAACTTTTCAAGAATTAATGAGAGACTTCATTTGGGAGGTGGTGAGGGTAAAAAGAATAATTTAATCAGTTGGGATCTTGTATAGAAGCCGAAGGGGAAAGGTGGGTTAGTTCTTGGATAAAGAGTTAGGGGTTTAGTAGGCAAATGGTTCTGAAGATTTCACCTCAAAAATTTCCCCCACGGTTTGAAATATTAGGAATATAAGTGGAGTTAATTCTAATGGTTGGAATTACTGAAAGGTTCATTTCGATGTCCTTTGAACTTTTGAGATTGATATTTTTGTGTTATCCTTCCCTTTCTCATTTGTTGAAATTCATTGTTGATATTGGAAATATAAGTGGATTTTTTTGGGAAGATATTTGGGTTGGTAAGTCGTCTTTCTGATTGTTGTTATCCCAACTTTTACCGACGTTCTTGTGGGATTTAAGTTTTCAAAGGAATTTGAATGGGATATTGATTTGTTTATGTTATAAATAAATGTTTCCTAAAACCCAAGTTTTTTGGATAAAAAGACCGTTTCTTTCCCACTTTTTTAGAGTAAATTGGAAACTACTTCATGCTGTATAATTCTTTTCCTTTATTAACTTTTTATATACGCTCACAGCTACTTGGGTCCTTCATGAATACCCTATTATCATCTTTTATGATGCACTTGACTATACTTAACAGCCCATGTATTGTAGAAAGTTACGATTTTCCCTTTTTTTTCTCTTTATATTTAAACTCTGATCAATTTTATATTTGGGTTTGGAGTAAGAACCATTTTGTCCAAGTTGTTTTTCACTCACTTTCCTATTAATCCCATGGTATTGCAGGCATGGTAGGATGCTAGATGTCGAAACAGAGACCAATCCCATAGATCGAATCGTGGCCCATTTGCTCTTCCATAGGCATTTGGATTTATCGGAGAAACATACTGACGCACCTGAATCACCTGTTTCTTCTAAGTTGACATGTGAACACAAAGCAGGTTTATTTAACGTGTCGAATGAATGCTTGCCAGACAGTTTGAAGAACAAACAATGTTCTCCTCGTCAGGGATCTACAAATTATTGCCCATTGGGTGAGCCCCATTCTTCGGACCTGTTTAAAAAAGGTCCTTTGATGGGCAACTCAGAAAACGCATCTAACAATGGTCCGACACATGGTGGAGCTATGAAGGCTGAAGCCTCTCTGTGAACAAATATGTGTCGCATAATTTGATAAGGGTAATTCCTTCCTTTATCTCTCCCATGCTAATTAATAATTTAATAGGTTTCTAGTAAATGGCTGTACGGATTCACTGGTAATGTGGAGATTTTCTTTCATTGTCAGCCAACCACGATCTTCATCAAGTGTGGTCATGGAGCTTTCGGCAACACTATCGATGGGGAGTATCCTATAAATGAATGCGCTTCATAAAAAGGTTGCATGTTTCAAGACAATGTTCAGTATAAGTAGTTATGTACGTGTCAACTGTCATAAGATTGGCTAAAGTGCCTCACATATACGAGGCCATACCTTGCTACCTGTGTGAGTAACTATGTATGAAGAGTTGGAGCTGCATATTTAGCTAGTATTTCAGCTCCTAACAAATTTATGCGTTCAACTTGCAAAAATAAATCCAGAGGTAATATGTCCTTAGATAAAGTAAATATCTTAGATTGTTAAATAAGATATGAATACTTGATTTACATTGTCCAGCTGCACAAACGACAAGCTAGTTTTTCGGTGGATGGTTTTCTACTTCTGCTTGCAACTACTTTTGTTCTTGTGTTGTGCCCTTGTTTGTTTTCCAAGTATGTTGTCATAGCTTTTGTTTTGGAGGTATTTTTTTGGTCTCATGTTTTGGAGTCTATATATGGGTCTTATAGAGTGTGATTTTTGTCTTTATATTTTACCAAAAAGAAAGTGAGTGCTTATTGAACAATTGAACGCGATAGCAGTACATTGAGGTTGGATATACAAATAGAATGTATACGGGTTTTATAGGGCTTGTTTGATAGGGAGAACTAGATTAGACTAGAGTAGCAAAATGCTTACATTTCATATGTATTCAAGGCATAATATGAATATGTTGTCTAACTTGGAGGAAGAATGGTGACTATCTATAAGAGGTTGATGACTAAAACTTATCTGCGGGTCTATCTATTAGAGAATGGGGACTATTCATACTGTGGGTTCTTTGGACGTTTTCAACTGGTATAAAGAACAGTAAGGCTATATATGTTGTCATGGATGGCATCGTTTATGTTTATGGTATATTATGAGAAATGTGAAGTCCAATTTGAATGACTTGAAAATTGTAAGAGAATTTAGCTACTACGCGCGTGGTGCTTTGATGCTAGAAATCCGAACAACATTTATACGTATGGTAGACACATGCTCTAAAAGGCAATTGGATTGAGATGGTGCACATAATTAGAAAAGATAGACTGAAGCTTATTGCTCGAGGCATTCTTTGATGGGATACCACCACGCAACTAGTGGCGGGTAAGCATAAGAATTTGAAGGATGGAATCGGTAGACGGATGAAGTTAGTCAAGTGTATTCCGCGAATTGATATATGTCTGTTGAGTTGTTGAGAAATGAGTAGGGGTGACATTTTAAACTGAAAAACCACAAAAACTAACCGACAATTTACCGCAATGAAACCGCAATCGCGGTAAACCGAACCGCATTTGCGGTATTAAAAATCGAACTGCATTTGCGGTTGCGGTTTCGGTATTTGATTTTCAAAACTTGCGGTTACCGCAAACCGCAAAGTATAGCCGCATGGATGATGAGGTTGAATTATACAAGGAAATGAAACATATGACAACTTGTAAGTAATTAGTTTATTTATGCTAATGTTATTTATGCTTCTTCTTATAATAAAATGTACTAAACTATGTTGTTTTATTTGTAGATAACATTGGTACTCAAACAACACAACGGGGTTCTTCAAATCCACTCACCACCAACACTTGAGTTTGTAACATTGGTGCATTGCATTTTCCTTTTAGTTTGTAACTTTAATTAACTTTGAATTGGATTTTTCTTTTTTGTTGTAACTTTAATTCATTTTACTTTGCATTTTCCTTTTGGTTTGTAACTTTAAAGGATTTGGAATTGGAATGCTTGAGAAGTTTAACTTTAATTGGAATGCTTGGAATTGTAACTTTAATTTTCTTAGGTTGTGAATGCTTGAGAAGTTGAGGAGATTGTGAATTTATATATGCTTGAGAAATTGAGGTTGTGTATTTATTTATTTAGGTTGTGAATTTATACTTTTGTGAATGCTTGAGAACTTGCGGTTTTAAACCGCTAATTCGCGGTAACCGACCGCATTTTGCAATTTATTGCGGTAAATTGCAAAATGCGGTCGGTTTGCAGTTTCAAAAATCATCAAACCGCAAATAGTCGGTCGGTTTGCAGTTGAAGTAAAAATTCGCGGTTACCAAACCGCAACCACCCCTAGAAATGAGAATGCGAATGATAGATCTATTTGAATAATTCAAACCCGGTCCCTCTTACCCAACTCTGATCTTCGAAGGGACATAGATTTTCCATTTTCACCCACCACGTTTACAATTTGATAAGGAATGAGATTTTTAAATTAAAAAAAACGACATTTCATTTCGTTGCAGCCCATAAGAAAGGATAACAATCTTCATGTTCACAAATTTTCCAAATTTGGGAGAGCCATTGAAGGAATGGATTGCGTTTTACTACCACACAGAGCACCACTTCATAATCATCCAAACTAATTGAATGGAATTCCTTGTTGTCATACATTTTGTGTTATGAAATGTATGCAGATGGACAATCATGGCATTAAACGTAGGGACATTTTGGTCCAATTTGTAATTAAACACACTTAACTCCAATATTTTCAATCCAAAAAATTCCATAAACTTCCCACAAATACATTTAACAATAAAATGGTTTTTTACAACATTAATAACAATAAGAATCTTATTTTGAGGTTATTATACAACTTAAATTTTGGACAAGGTTGAGAAAGAGAATAGGTTAGTATATATGTTGTGACATCTTTTTCACTAAAATACCAAAAAACAAAAACAAAACCAAAAAAAAAAAAAAAAACACTAATACTTCGACGAAAGGACCAATGTCACAAACTGTATTGAAAGACCAATGTGAGAATCATGTAATAATTCAAGGGATAAAGCTACAAATTTTTACAAATGTGGATACTTACTAAAAAATGAAATATCGAAGAGATATCAAGGATACATAGAGGTACAGTTGAGGGTTCCGTCAAATAATCTTATGTGAGGGACATCCTTATAGGGCACACCAATATGTTTGTTCAAATTTTTCACCGGAGAATATTTGTGTATAAATTGTTCACCCTTCGAGCTTCCTTCTCTCTGGCATAACAGTTTAGAGGAGAGAGAGAGAGAAACTTTTGTTTTTTTTTTTCGCCAAAACAATGAGAGAAATTTATTAAAGACGAATAGAAAGGTTTACGTCACTAGCAAGAGTATCAAAGATCCACTCAGGCCATAAATCATCCCAAGTATGGATGCCGCCAACTCTGAACACAAAGGCCGCAATTTTATGCGCTGCCTTGTTACAAAGACGAGGAGTAAACAGAAAGACACAATGCTGACATTGCGCCACCAGGCGCTTTATGTAAAAAATAAGGGATTCCACAGCAAAATCAACTTTCCTCTTTCCACAAAGCATTCGGATAATTTGTAAGGAGTCAGATTCAACCTCAAGTTTAGAGAATCCTCCTTGTACACAGACCAGCAACGCCTCCCGAATGGCCTCAGCCTCCATCGCCAACGCCGAACCCCTCCGCAATCTCCCTTGCCACCAGCCAGAACCATCCAGCCATATGAATCCCGTACCACCCAACCCACACTACCCATTCCTGTCTGTGCCATCCAAGTAGCATCGCAGTTAACCTTGAACACCCCAGATGGCGGTTTTTGCCACGAAGTCACCGGCTCCGCTTGAGCTTCAGGCGGACGAGGTAGCTCATTAATAAGCGGCTTCACACACATCCGAGCTATTCTAAATTCTTGAACCTGGTTTTTGAAGCATTCCACCGCATCACGAGGATCAGTCACCTGTCCTTCGAAAACCATGCCATTCCTAGTTTTCCATATCCTCCACAAGCCAAATGCACAAGCCTGCAAGATCTCGCTATAGTGTTCCACCTGCTCATATTTGCTAAGCAAATTTGCCCAGCAACCAATAAAATCCTCTCCCACAACAAGACTTGGATCCAATTGCAACGGAGAAGCAAACCAAAATAACCGCGCAAACTCACATGTAAAAAATAAGTGTACCTGAGATTCCCCCTCCCGTCCACACAAGGTACATGTAGTATCAACATCAATTCCCCGATGCAACAAGTTCTCCTTCACCGCTAAAACATTGCGACAGCATTTCCATAGGAAAGTTCGAATTTTAGGAGGCACCGGCAGACCCCAAATACTTTTCCAAATACGTTGTTGATTCCCTTGATTGGTTTCTCCTTCAGCTTTCCTGCCTAGCTCTCCATTCTGCAGTAAATTTACCGCCACTTCATACCCCGATCTAACAGTATAGCCTCCATGAGAAGTAAAATGCCAAACCTGCTTATCTGGACACCCCCATCTGCTAATAGGTATGGTAGAAATGCATTTAGCTTCATGAAGATTAAAGCAACGATCCACCAGCTCCATATTCCAGCACCTCAGAGTCGGATCAATGAGCTCAGACACCATCAAAGGCATGTCAGGATGTCGGGAATGCACCATGGAAATAGACGGGGTGGCCAACCAGCAGTCCGGAAGAATTCGAATGCACTCCCCATTTCCGACACGCCAACGTAGACCAGCCTCCAAAATCCTGCGGCCTTGCAAAATACCTTTCCAACCCCACGAAACCTTCCGACCACATACAGCATGCATAAAATCATATTCGAAAAAATATTTCTCACGTAAGAGCCGGGCTAGCAAGGTTTCTGGATTCTGAAGGATCCTCCAGCCAATCTTCGCCAGCATAGCAAAATACCTTTACTAATAGACATTTTTCCCACGTTATCTCCTCATTAATTCTAACTTCTATTAACGCTATTTATGTTGAAATATAATCCTGTTCTGCCTGATTTCTTAGAGCAGAAGTCATGTTCTGCCTGATTTCTTAGAGCAGAAGTCATTTTCTATTTTCTGTTCTGTCTACTTTAAATGATGTAATGAGAACCATTAGATCATAGTCTAAGTGGATTCTCTAGCTTAGATTTGGTATGACACGTGTAAGCACCTAATAGGGTGACAGTTGTAATTCTGTTAGAAGAGAATCACATTTCTCTCTCTGTCAGACACACTATGTAAGCTGCAGATTGTAAGAATTCAATATAACAGTGCCTTCCTCATTTCTCTTCATTCTCTCTAGCTGAAATCTCCAGAAAATACATCTCTTCCTAATCTGAAAATACATATACAAACTAAGAATTCTAACATGGTATCAGAGCCAGGTTCGATTGTTTGTTGGGCGTGAATCTGTGAAGATCGAGCTGGTGTTTGGCTGGGCTGACGTTGAGCTCACTCAAAATTTCACGAAGCTTTTCTAGCTGCGTCTGATGTCTAACATGGCAGGATCAAGCTCTTCTGAGCTTCGTACACCAGTTTTCAATGGAGAAAACTATGAGTTTTGGAGCATTCGAATGAAGACCATTCTGAAATCTCATGGACTGTGGGATTTGGTTGAAAATGGTTTGGATGCTTCAGAT